CGCGAATAAGGGAAGTTCGACCTTAACCGGAGTTGACAGGAGTTGCTGGAATTCTGCACCGGGTCCGCCCCAGCTGCAGCATCTCAATGTCATTCACATCTGACAGGTTTAGAGGGGTGCCATGCGGAAACGTGATGGCGGCAGCATCATCAGCAGTGGCAGATGCAAAGATGGCCGATGCCCAGAGTTCAGCCTCCCTCAGTACGAAGGTGGGGCTCCCCCAGGCTGCGCCCCAAATGCCAACGGACGCGCCCCAAATGCCGACGGACAGGGCGGACGGCACCGCGGGCCCCGGGCCTGGCGGGGGGGAGCACGCGGGCGGTGGTGGCCGGCAGGAGGCGGCAGCGCTGCTGGTGGCGCAGCAGGCGGAGGTGATGGAGCAGCTGCTGCAGCTGCAGCGCGTGCTGGAAGTGCAGACAGAATGCACGGGGCGCCACGCACTGGAGGAGGAGGTGGCAGCGCGCGTCCTGGGGGACAGCGCAGGTGAGGGCAGCGACGCTGGACTGACCAGATTGCGGATCCGCAAGCCTTGGGTGGATTGCAACGAAATTGATTGGCGCTGGGCCTAGTAACGGCAGGAACGATTGATGAGCTTGGAGCCCATGGTGCACCTGCCTGCCACTTTGCTGATTACTGAAAACAACTGGTCTTTGCCTGATGCTTGTCTTGCCTTCGCCAACCCATGAGGAAGCGAATGTTCCACCCAGCGCGGTGCCCTGATCCTGGGGCGGGCGCTTGTTGCAGCCTGGCAGAAACCTGCAGAGGAATTGCCAGCGCCCGCCGCCAAGGCCCTGGAGGAGGCGTTCTCGCTCAAGGACAGCGTGACCAAGGCGGAGGCGCGCGACCTGGGCACTGTGCTGGGGATCACGCCGGGGCAGGTGAGCAGCCAGCCTGCAATGTTTGGGCACAATTGGCGGCGGGAACAGCGGGAAAGAGCTGCGCCAGGCACAGGCATGTCTTGGAGTTTCAGCGGTTTGGAGGGCCAATCATTTTGTATTGGGGGCTTCAACTGGCCAAGCTCATCATTTGGTGTGGACAGGCAGCGGTCAGGGTGAAAGATCTGCCTTTGCGGTGGCTCAGGCATCCCATCTGGCGTGTCGTGCAGGTGAAGGACTTCTTTGTGGCCCACCGCGCCCACACGCGCGCCTGGCTGCGCAGCATGCACCCAGGGGCCCTCAAAGGCAGGCCACAGCGGGGCGCACACAGCAACAGACCGCCCCAAGATAGACAAGCGGGGCCACCCGGCAAGGAGCCTGGGTCTGACAGGGGCAAAGAGGCACCAGGGGCCAAGGCAGAGGTCCTGGCCAGAGTGGAGAAAGAAGAGGGCGGAAGAGAGGGGTTAGGCACCAAGAAAGGGGGGTTTACTGCTTTGAAAGGTGTGGCAGAGTCGCAGGGCGCAGAAGTTGGGCTGCCAGGCCCCAGCGTGGCGGGTGGCCTCATGGCGGGGGGCGACGAGGGCGCTGCAGGGCGCCTGAGTGGGCAGGAACACAATCCTGAGCAGGACACAGCCAAGGCAGAGTCCCAGGAAAAGGAGCCCCAGTCTGGTGCGCAACCCTTGCAACCTGCAGTGGGGCTGTTGGCAGCCGAACAGCTTGTCCGGGTTGCTGACACAACGGGCGGGGCTAAACCGAATGCTGACGGGCTGGAGCCTGTTTTGGACCACCTCCCACAGCTGGATCCGATTGCTGTGGGGAACGCCAGTGAGGCTGCTGTCCAGGCAGGGCATAGCGCCCGCGGGCCCCCTGCGGAGGGGCACACCAAAAATGGGAGCAGGTCTGCGGGGCCGCCGCCTGAGAAGGCCCTGCCCCGGGAACCGTTCCAGCCGCCGCAGCAGCCGCGAGGCATCCTCATCGACCTAAATGCGCCCCCCGAGGACCTTGCCGAGGAGACGCCAGGCGGGGACTTTAGCACCAGCATTCCTAAAGGCATGACCTGGAGCGCTGTCTCTCCAGCAGGGAGCAGCCCGCAAGAGACAGCAGCGCTGGCTCTGGGCGCCCCCGCCAGGTGGGCGGCAGCAGGCGCCCCCCGTGGGGCGCAGCCGCAGGCAGCGGAGGTGCGCGGTGTGCTGGCTCTGGGCGCTCCTGAGAAGCAGACGGGGGCAGGGCTGGCGCGGAGGGTGCAGCCGGAGGCAACGGACCTGCGGGGGGCGCTGGCGCAGCTGGTGGGGGCAAGGGGGGCAGGGCACGCGGAAGAGGAGGGGGCAGCCCGCTGGTCACGTGTGATGCGCAGGGAGAGCAGCGTGGCGGGGCGGCTGCAGGTCCTGGAAGCGCTCGCCAGGGGCCGCAAGCGGGTGGTGCAGGCTCGGTGGGTGGCGAATTCACGTTCTTAGTCTGAGCTCTTGCGTAGCTCAAGCGAAAGCGATCTCCTTCAGCAAGATATACGCGAAGCTTCTTCTTTCTTTGTGCGGTCTCGTTTTAGCATGGATTCTCGGTGTAGCAAGGAATTACTTGGAGTTGTTCCCGCATGCTCTTTCCCTGCGTAGTACCGTGGCGTCAGTAACGGGTGGCGTCCGTGCAGGCTGCTGGACGGCGCTGGCCTGTTGCTGCTGCACCAGTGGCTGGTGGAAGCCTACAGCGAGGAGCAGACCACCCTGCTGCGGGCCCTGCTGCAGGTGAGGCGCGCACGCAGCGCATGTGCGAAGTTGCAAAGTCAGCCATGAAGCCCACACGGATGGGCCGGATGCTGGATACAGAAGCGGACAGCAAGGAGGCAGCTTCGATCAGGTTCAGTGAAAGTAACATCAGCGACCTGCTGAAACTTTGCCTCTGTGACTTGGCCATCTGTCCCGTCAATTCGTGCTGAGTGGTGGCGCAGGTTCTGAAACGCTAGTCCCCCTATGGCTTCTTCCGTGCTTACTGCGGTCTCCGGCCTGACACCTGGCGGCTGTGCGTGCGCACGCAGGTGTTGGCGCTGCTCCCCCCTCGCCCCATCGAGGCGTCTCCCATTGCGCCGTTGGCCAGGACGTTGCTCAAGGTCACCCGCTACTTTGTTCCAGGTACGCCCCCTAGCCGCTCGTGCTGCCCCCGTCGTGAGAAGTTATGAGCACACGGCAGCCGCCTGCTTGTCTACTCCTGTGTGCCTGCAGGGGCTGCAAGGCATCGTGCCCCTGCAAAGCCAGCCGATGGGGCCTTCGCCTCGGATTTCTTCTCCCGTACTCCTGCCAAGATAAAGAGTCTAGCTTTGACCAGTGTAACCGTTCGGGCTGCAGATGTGGCGGCACTGGCACGGCAGCTGTTGGTGTGCTGGAAGCGAGGGCGCGCACCTGACTTTGCGCAGAAAAGCGGCCACCTTCTGGCGGTTGCACGCCAACCAGGGTGAGACAGAGTGCACGCACGAGGCTGCTGTCTCACATGTTGAGCCTTGCGTGTGAGCCTTTCGGACGCTAGACGGGCCTCGTCTCACCGTCCTCGTCCCGCTGCTCTTGCTGTTCCGTCTCATTTTACCGTGAACCCCGCCTGTGTTGCGTGCGTTCAGGCCCCAGCCTGGTTCCGGCCCTGTGCCGCCTATATCGGAAGCCACGGCGCCGCCAAAGATCGCCTCACCTGTCGTGGTAGAGAGGCGAGGTACGGACTCGTCCCTCGCAACGGTTCTGCGTGCCTCCGTGCCTCCCTCCGTCTTGCGGACCCGGCCGGGCTCGTTCGCTCAGGACCTGCGTCATGGAAAACTCGGAGCATACAACGCGGGCAGCGCAGCTGGGCCCTCCAAGAGCTCTCGGGCATCCGCCCCTTGCTGGCCTCATGTCTCAGTCGACACCTTGCTGAATTTCTCGCTGCTCCCACCAGTTGCCGTTCCGGTTGACTGTCCAGTCACAAGCCTTGTTGTTCTGGTTTTGCAGATGCTCCGCCCCCTTCTCTTGTGCGAGCTTCTCTCCCATTGCGAACCAGCGTAAGTTGTTCCCCTGCTGATTCTCACAATCGCTCCCAGTCGCTCGCAAATGCAGGTCGACCGAGAGACTGGCGAACTTATCCACGTTACCAACTGCCACACGCGTCTCTCTTTCCAATCATCCAACTGCCGATCTCAGGCGTTTTGCTCCTTGTGCGGTGTTGGTCATCCACTGTAAGAGCGGTCTTTCATGACCACCTTGGCCCGAGATTCTCAGCTATCTCAGGTCCACAGTGCATGATCATTTGTCGCCCGCCAGTATGTCGCCAATGTGTCGACGTCACGCGGCAGTCGCTCTTTGAGCATGGCGCTCATTGTCATAATTTCCCATTCTTGTGTCGCATTTGCTCCAGGCCGCTCCTCCTGTGGCCGCGCTGGCAGCCCCCCCTTCCCCCAAGCGTGGCCCCCGCTCCGGCCCGCCTGGCCGTACCTTGCCAGGCCCCTCCGGTGTGGCTGCCAAGCGGGCAGGCTCACCCCTGGGACCACCCCCCGCGAAACAACCTCGGCACGGAGACAGGCCTGAGCAGCAGGGGATGGGGCGGACTGGGGGAAAGGGTCGGGGGGACGGGCAGAGGGGGGGCAAGTTCGCCGAGCTGTTGCGGCGAGGCCGTCAGCGCGACAGCAACGGCACAGAGGTGGCGGCGCTGCTGCAGGACGCAGTGGCGGTGCGGGGCGGGGCGGGAGAGAAGCCGCTGTCGGCGGACGACATCCTCAAGGCCAAGGCGCGCGAGCAGCTGATCCGCCAGATGCAGGGCAGGAACGGCAGGGCGGCCGATCAAAGGAGCCGCGCCAGCGGAGGCGCCCGAGGAGACGGGCAGGCCCGCGTTAGCAGGCTGGCAGGAAATGGCGGGACAGAACGGCCTTTTGGGGCGGACGGCAGGGAAACAACGACGGCGCAGCAGGAGCGGCTCCCAGAACAGGGAGCACCTCACGCACAGGCAGCGGCGGCCGCATCTCACAGTGCGGGGCCAGTGCACGGGAATGGGGGCCCGCCGCTTCCAACGACGACTGAGAGCGCGTCCTCGGTAATTCAAGGGACCTGGACCCCTGACCCAGGCTACGACGGGGGCGCTCTGCCTGGCGCTAGGCTCGCGTCCAACAGCGCGGGGCCTCTGGCTCTCGACGTGGCCGCCATCAGCGCTCTGGCACATGCGCTGCAAGTGGCGACCCCTCCCACGCAGCCAGGCCCCAGCGCGCCGCCCCCGGCCAGTGCTGTGCCGAGTCGTCAGCCCGTGGTGCAGCCGGCGCACGTCGCTGCCGCGCGGCCGGCGAACCCGCTGCTGGCGCAGCTGGTGGCGGAGATGGAGCGGCAAAAGCGACGCGAGGCGGAGCGGCGAGAGAGAGAGGGGCCCCACGCGGCGCTGTCGGCAGAGGCGCAGCAGAGCGCGGCCCTGCTGCAGCAGTTGGAAGCACACGTGACAGCGCTGCTGGCCCAGGAGAGGCGCAGCGCCGCTCCGCAGAAGGGGGGCGAGGGTGGGGCGTGGGCGCGCGCAGTGGCGCTCATGGAGGACCGCGCCATCCCGTGGCAAGTGCCGCCAGGTGAGGGGGCCGCACACGCGCACTGTGGCGAGACCCCATGCCCGTTCAATGTAGTCTACAATGACAGAATTGGTCGAACTCAGTGTGAAGATTCAGGGCTCCAACATTCTTGTCCTGTCAAGGTCGTCGACACGTCTGGGGACAGCAGGACCTATTGGGCTTGAATTGTTTTGTGGATTGCTTCGAGAACGTACTGTTCCGCCGCTGTCACTTGTCGAAGGTTCCTGCTCCCTCGCCTCATTGGATCTGTCTGGCAGGCTGCCCCGGCATGCCGCTGCCCGGTGGTGCACGCAGACTGGCAGCCGGCGGACTGGAACAAGGTGTCAATCTTCTGATTGCGGGTGTCTTACCGAAGTCCCCAGCTGCATCACTTAAGCGGCCGTGAGAAGGCTGCTTGTGGCTGTTGCGATACCAGGTTGCCTGCCCGTGCCCATCCTATTGCGTGCAAAGCCCAGGCTTGTAGCGCAAGATAGTCGAGGGTCAGCCAGCTAAGCAGCCCGGTCGCTCCTCTTCGGGCCACTCGACACCCCTCGCATCGCCCCACTGTCGCCTCCTCCTGCATCCCCTGCGTGACCGTGCTCCGCCCCCTTCTCCGTGCAGCAGTGTGGCTGGACCCGGCCTGGAGCGTCCCCGCGGGCGAGGACAGCGAGGAAGCCTCGCGCCGCACCCACGAGGCGGCGGCCACGCTGGCGGCAGTGTACCCCAGTGCGGCGCTCATCCCGGACCAGCCGCGCGCGCCGCCGGTGAGCGAGCCCGAGAGCGACGACGCGCTGACGCCCGAGATCACCACGCTCGACCTGAAGCAGCAGCAGCAGCAGCAGCAGGCGGCGGCAGAGGCTGCGGGCGGCGTCGGGGACGGGGAGGAGGACGCGGAGTACCAGGCCGCGCTGGCGGAGGCGTACGGCCCGGCGCAGGAGCCAGCGCGGAGCAGCAGCGGCGCAGCAGGTGAGAGGCGCGCAGGGGATGGCAATGGATGCTTGTAGCTGACGGCGTTGTTTGTGGAACTTTTTGTGGAACACGGAGCAGGCGCGTGCTGGTGCGAAAACGCTCGGTGGTAACGAGAACTTTCAATCGGAAGTAGCGAAGTTTTGTTAGGCACAATTTGAAACACACTGCAATTATTCTGGACCTTTGATTCGGGCCTTCTTTCGTGGGGTAGCTCCCGTTCCTTTGCGCTCCTCATAGTCGCGTGCTTCTCTGTGCAGATGCCACTGTAGGGCGGCAGCCGTCGTACGGTCACGAGTACGTCCAGGAAGCGCCTCGTGCCGCTCCTTTCCGGGCAGCCGAAGGAGCGCTGGGCCGCTGGGGACGCTCCCCGGGTCCTCCACTGTGGGCCGAAGCAGCGGCCAGGCCCACCGGCCGGGGGTACCTGCCGCCCCGGCCAGGCACCTTCGGAGCAGCGCCATCCGCCCCTCCACACTATTTGAGCCCCCCTGCGCATCAAAGCTGGCCACGCGGGCCGCAGTATGCGCGGGGACGAGCCCCTCTAGACAGGACACAGACAAGCTACGCAGGACAGAACAGCAGACCGGCAGGCCCACAGTATGGCACACGACCAGGGCGCAATAGCTGGCGGGGCTGGTAATAAGCCAGCCGAGGACAAGACTTAGCAAATGCATAGATCCGGAGGGTGAGAATCCAACTTGTCATGGTCCTCTCATGACTCGTCTTATTTCATATCGCCAGTTGAAGTTCTAATGTAGAGGTGAAAGTGAACCCGTTACTATCCTGGTCATATTGAGAATGTGCATCATTTGCAGTTCTGGAAAATTCTGGCTCCAACTTCATCTGGTCGGTAATGCTGCACCGGCAGAGGCGATTGCACGGCGGTCATATCTCGAAGTTTCCAGGTGTCCAACGTGTATCGTTCCTTTGAAGTAAATTAAGAACGGGAAGCCCCCTGCTTCAGATCGAAGTCCTTAACGACATTATGGCGTACCACCGTGCGCACCCACACGTTTGTGCACTTCACCGGGCTGGAGCGCGTCGATGATTGCTCAGCATGAAGCAGCCGTAACCCTCATGCTAGCTGTATCACAAGTCGAATTTACATTGCTTTGTTTTATATCTTTTCTCAGCCTGCATTTGTCGCCTGGCAGGCTAGAATTGCATATATACTTACTATATATAGACGTTTCGATCTAACTCCGTATCAAGTCTCGGTCATGCATGCTGACCGCGGCGGCGGCGGCGCATGTCAGCGCTACTCAATGATAGCTGCAGCTCAGGCTCAACTCGACGGCGCGCATGCATGGATTCCGACAAAGACTCATTGGATCGACCAGACGTTGTCACTCACATCACGCACAAGCTACCTATGGTGGGTCCCGGCCGAGTCGACTTCGACTCAAACCGCGACGAAAATGTGGGACCCGGTATCAAATTTCGTCAGTAGTACCGGCGGTTCACGTTACGACGACTCGGACTTCCGTAACGTGTACCCACGAGTACTTTCAAAATCTTGCTCGGCCGTAACCGAGTGTCATAATGGTGTAACAGAGTGTTTTGATTTACACTTTGACAGAAGCATAAAAATGCCACACTATGAGGAGGCTTATGCAGCTTATAGAAACCTTTGACAAGCAAAAAAAAATGTTGAAAGGGCGTCATTAGAGGTCCTTTGAAGCTCCAACATCATGTTTTGTTCAGGACAAATCTCAAGAAACAGCATAGGAGGCGCAAAGTGGGCCGCCATTGTTGATTTTTGCAGAGCGCCTTTCCTTACACTGCTCTATCAAATTCCTGCACTCTCCTTTCAGTCTGGGTACCGCGGTACTCCTGCGTGGTTCAAGTCGGAAGTTCCGACCAAGACCATAAATTTCATAATCGATGTACGCGCAGACTCGAGCGGTACCGTACCTCCGCATAGTACGCACTTGACCGTTGATCGACGTGTCAGAAAAAGTTCAATTCATGAACTCAGACCTGATTCTCAAGTACTGCCGAGTACGGTCGTCAGTGCCGCGTACACAATTCGTCGCGACACGTAACACCGGTGTAAGAACTTTGAGACCGGACCGTCGCGCGGTCGATACCGTCGAGACCCACCATAGGTAGCTTGTGCGCGCGCGCTGTCATGCGCGGTCACTATAGTAGCGCTAGTATATATAGCTCTGAGTCTGCTGCTATGGATCGAATATTGAGTACGCATGCGAGCATGCATGGCCGCGCGCACCTAGATAAGCTGCATGACTTGCGAGCTTAGCACATGCATGACTTGTGCCAAATGCAGCTAATTAATTGAGATTCATGATTGGCCGGATCGATACATTTAATCCCAATTCGGAAGCTAGGAACAAATATATAGAAACGGTTGACTGCATCATGCGATCAGTACACCTCTTCGAGTAGATTTGGAAGCCTGAAGCGAGATTGATGCGGCACAAACGTGTAACTTTATGCACGGTTTCGTGAATTAGATTCGATCATGCACGATCCAACTCCCTGAGTGCGATGTACGCTTTTATCTTCTGTGACCTCCATTACTGGCACCGTCGCGCCAGGCTTTGGTGCAGTGAACTTCTTCAGGCTTATTGTGCCCGCCGGATAGTATTATTGTGCCCGCCGGTCCAAAGATTTCATCAATCACGTACAAGGTGACTGATTGGGCCAACGAATTCCCCAAAGAGTAGGCCATTGCTAGTACGTAACGATGGTGGCCAATAGTGGACAATCACTTTGACGGCAGCATCACATGTTCCCTCAACCTCCGCAACAAGTCTCGCCATAACTTTCCTTTGAGTGGCAAATGTGCCCGAATGTGTTCTGATAGGACATCGATGACATGTTTGAAACCACATCAGAAAAGGTTGAACGCTTTCTCGAGCACCACCTTCCGTTGTCGCTCTCTGCCCGCTATTGTTGTCACCGCAATCTGCAACGAAGCACAGAACGTCGTGTTCACGAGCGGGCAAATCGTCCAAACGTGACACTGATGGATCGCGCAACACTTGAAGAAGTTGCAACGCTTTACGAGTGGTACTTGGGGACGAGATGATGCCCAAGCGGGGCCCCTGCAGACATTCTCTCCATAAGTTTGCCGGTAAGCAGTCGAGCCCAAAAAGGAGCCGGACCTCCATCTACCGCATCATCTAGGATGGACCCCTGCCGCCTCCTGCTGATCAACGTCTCGTTTCATCTCATCGAGGCACCTTGTTGCTACTATAGGCAAGGGTGCACAAGACCGAGTTTCGTTCTGACCTTGATTGGGCCCCCTTCGTCGGATCCTTGTCGGCTCCACTCGACGGTCGTCTGCTTCCCTTTCTGGTCGTAGCTGGCCCGCAGCGTGCTCTTCTTGGCGATGCGCTGGGTTGCGGCAAATGAAAAGGTCCCAGCTCCTGCATCGTATGCGGGCTCCAGCGTCGTGGAGCCCCGCGTGTGGCTCAGCTTCACAGTGGCCGCCTCCTTCTTGAAGTCCCACCTGCAGCCACAGGCGCGGCCCCGTCAGAAGCAAGGCCAGGGCCTCACCTGCTCAATGGCAGTGGGGCCAGCCATCTCGAAAAGCTAGCCTCTGATTCATGCACATGAAGAGATAGTGACGCACAGATTCAGCAACGTTTACATGAGAGTTTGCCATGTTGACAGCATCTACTGGCTGCCCTGCAGGGTGCGCTGCCGCTCACTTGGTGGTGAGCTTGGTGTCAGGATTCAGCAGCAGAGCGCCTTGCAGGGTGGTGTCGTGCTTGAGGTGCCCGTGCGTGTACGACAGCTTCAGCGGGGGCCCCAGCACCTTGGTGGACGTGTCAAATTGGAACTTCCAAGCCTGCGCAATAACGATGGCCCCTCCAATCGTACAATGATGCCACCAGGGCCGCCATGCTTCCCGCGGGCTTTAGGCGATAGACATCATGGCAGCGGACTCCTTACTTTCACAAAACTTGCGCATCATGTGAATCAATGGGGTGGGGTTGTCGGCAAATTGCTACATGATGCAGCCGCCGGATGAGTGGCATTCCTTGTCTTGCAGAACAGAATGGAACCCTGGCTGTATCAGACACAAAGTCTCCGGCGTCCTCATCTGGTGCCTTGTTTCAGACCCTTTCAGAGGGCTAATGTGACCGCAATGCTGCCCCTGACGCCCCATGACAGGACTAAGCAGGTGGGGCAGTAAGCAGGTGGTAATGTGGGGCTCTCCCAAGGTTAAAGCCAAGACCCCATCATTCAATCCACCTGATCTACCAGACACTTGATTGCATCACCTCACTCCCGCTGTTTCACTGATGCCCCGGCAATGCTGTAACATCAACAGATGGCCTCCTTTCTTGCATCAATTGACCTCTTTCAACAGGTCCCCTCGGCCGCACTCACCCCGTCCTCCACGTTGTAATCGACGCTGAAGTCGCCTGGCTTCTCCACCCCAAGCAGCAGCCCCTTCCTGTAGCGCGGCTCCTTGGTCAGGGTCACGTCCTTCAGCGTGGCCTTAACCTTCACATCTGCCACCGGCAGCGCCAGCGCCAGCTGGGAACTGTGGCCGCCATCGGCCGCGTGCGTCACGCTCGCCTTGGCACTCAGCCGCACCATGCTGTCCTAGCGCGCCACGCCAACAGCACGCCCGGATCAAGGGAGAGAAACAATCAGTGCACTTGATCCAATTATATCCAGGTGGACGCGGCACTCGCAATCACGCCTGTTCTTCTTATAAACTAGACGCTGCATTCCTTTACAAGTGTGCAATGGAAGCGCCACCACATTGCACAGCTAGAGCACTTCAGGTCGGGTTCACATCATTGAAAACTTTATTGAAACATTCCGAGTTCGAAGAGCCATGCATGGCCAGTTCAAATGATCTGCGTGGTTCGATCGCGGGGGCCGCCCGGGCGCGGCCGCCCGTGGCTAGCCGGCCGCGCCGCTGGGTCGCTTCATTGGCCGCGGACGCCCGCCCAGCCCACAGACGTCGTCGGGTGTTCTTGAAAAGTTTCGGTTCATCGAAAGGGGGTGTGCACCGTCCAGTCGTGTTCATCGACGGCTGCCTTGTCCGTCTCGCTTGGATGTGATGGCGTCACTCGGAATGGGAATGCAGAGCTTCATGGGATCATCCGATCCCGAGATTTGTCACAACGTGCATGCAGGGTCTCGCGCTGAGAACTGTTCAAAGTGCTATGCCAATGGTGATGAGAACGTCGCGACTCGCAAAAGGCGCCTAATGCCGCCAGCCGAACATAAGAAAAAATGCCATTTTGCGTTGGGGGCCAGAAGGAACTTTTTTTGCCGCTGTAAGATCCAATGGGGCATGGGTGATGTGCAGCATTGCGAATGTGAGGGTGCTGGTTCCTCCCACCTTTGATCACGGGGAGCTCTCGCTTCAAGCAACTTCATTGCCAGAGTGCTTGCACGAAGTTCAAAATTGATCAGATTCTCTGAAATTTGAAAGTTGAGGGGCAGAGATTTGGCAAAATGACTTATTACGTTTGATCAAACGAGACACGCGCAATGCCATGTCAGCCAGAGGGCAACCCCGCAGCAGTGACCAGACGAGGGCATATAAGAAAACACCAGACTTCTGCATTGGCATGGTGCAAGGAGACCATTCACTCGGTCTTACTTAGTGTAATGCTGAATCACGACCTTCAAAGTTGGCTTTTTGACATGTAAGTACAGAGCTTTGTTGCTTCCAAGCCTGTTGGGTGTAGCCATGCGAGCAGTGCCTCACTCTCAGCTTTAAGACGCGCCCCGAGTCCCCCGGTAGGACGGCGAACACGCATGGGCCACTTACAGAGCCCTTCTTTGCAGCATTGCCCTGAGTGACTGCAGCACGACGGGCGGAGCTGGGTCTTCCTGCCCAGCCATCACTGCGAACGGCTCTTGTAGTGTCCCGCCTTTGCATGCCTCCCTGGCATGCCCAGGCTAGCCTCCCCCCTGACCTAGCTGGTCAGTCTGTCATGGCCGCCAAGCGGGCACGGGCCTCCCAAGAGAATGACCCACCACTGGGATGGGCCTCGCCGCCCACGGGGCCCCGCACACCCGCGGACAAGGGCATCCTCAGGTAAGCAAATCCTCACACCAAGAGCAAGCAGAGGTTGATGCCTACGAAGAAGAGGACGGAATGTGCACAACACAATCTGCAGCTTTTGCTGACACGCTGCCTGTGTCTCCGAGACAACTCTGATGTCCTGTTGTTTGGACAAGTACCGCGTCGTTGTCAATCTGTACATGTGCTTAGTTCTCTTGTTTCGTCTGACACTGCGTTCAAATTCGATGAATTCGCAAATTTCTGCAGCCCTGCCCGGGTTCCTGCTCCCCCAGCTCTGGCGACCCAACGGGTTTCCTCTCAAGCCTTTCCGGCAGCTCTGCCCTGCGATGGCCCCTGCCATCAGTGTGGACAAGATGACGGCGGCGCTGCTCTGCAGACAAAGCTCGGCCTGGACTTGGCCCGGGTCCTGTCATATGAGCGGGGTGGCGCGCGCAGCTGCCCGTGCTGCTGCCCCCGCACCATTTCAGGGAGCAAGGCCAGTAAGGGAAAGGGCCGGACGCACAAACCCGCCGACGGCAGGGGAAAGCTACCTCCGTCATCTACGGTAAGAATGGGCGCCCAGCTTGCAGTGCCCTGCAGACCTGCTGTATGCTGGGCCCCGTGAATCCAGCCAGCCTGCCAGACCCGCCCTCTTGCTTGTACTGAGCCGGCCCGCCCGCTGGTGCAGCTCGCCCCTGAAGAGGAACACGTGATGCGGGCGCGCATGGAGAAGGCCCTGTGCCAGGCGGCGCGGCTGCAACGAGCCTGCGCCAGGATAGCGGGCCGCGTGGGGGAAGTGCGCAGCAGGGCCTGTGAAGCTCGCGCGCTGTGGAAGTGGAGGTGGGCCGTGCAGGTGAGGCCTCCACGTGTTCAGCAGGGCCTCAGGGGGGCTTCTCTACAGGCTTGATTTGCGACCACTTGGGTTACCCCCTGTAGTGCGAGCTGTTGCAGCCGCTGAAAGACACTCAGTTGGGCTCGGCCCAATCATGCAAGCCTTAGTAGACGCCCTTCTGAGTGTTGGCTGAGGGGTGCAGGTGGAAAAGGCTGCGGCATGGTCCGCTTCATGCGAGGCCCAGGCCGCGCGCGCGGAGGTGCTTACCACGGAGGTGGCGGCTGGGGCGGCGCGACTGGGGGAGAGGCGCGAGTTGTGGGTGGCGTGGCGCGCGTGGCGGCGGGGCAGCCAGCAGCGCAGCCACGAGAGAAGGAGGGCCGTGCTCAAGGTGACGGCCATGGTGAGTAAAGGCACCCACAAAGGCGCCACAGGCAGCCGATGGCAGAAGCGGGTGGCTCGTGCTTGAAAGCCGCTCAGTGGGGCAGAATGCGCAATCCCAAGATGACCAAATTGCTGTCACAACTGCTCAGATTTCAGATAAACGAAATCAATGTGAAGTTCGCTATAAGCTCAGCTTGATCTGAGGTCGCCTTCTGCTCGCAAAACGGAAAGAATCAAAGCGACTCGTTCAAGTCATTTTCGAAAAAGAGATTACAGGCACAGAATGGTTGCTTTTCCGAAGCCCGTGCATCCGACTCCGATCTAGATGGAACCTTGGGAGGCGGCAGTGTCATTCATCTTACAGACTAGGAGGCCTTTCCTCAATGTCAAGGTCCAACCGCGCGTGGCTGGAGGCGGGAGGAGTTTTGCTCAATTCCTTGATTGTTTAATCCCTTTTCTTCCGCTCTGGCCAGGCTCAGC